TTTTTGCTTTTAGGACCAGAAATGTTGTTTTTGAGTTTGTGGTTCTTGCGAAGTTTGGGGGCCAAAAGTTTCAGTGAAAATGTCCTATCGGATGAAGCTCATGGGTCTGTCTTTCCCTCGAGACCACTTTTCTATCTTCAGAGGCAGAAGTCCGGTTTTTGCAGAGTAGAATGGCCACAGGAGAATTTCAAACAAGTTTCTGTAGAATAAACATTGACACCCAGAAATTTTCAGCGGAAGTATCTTGCTGGCTGAGCTTATGAGTCTCTTCCCTTCGAGACCAAGCTATCTGTGCTGTTGTGCTTTTGAGGGTAGAAGTATGGGTTTTGCAGAGTAGAATGGCCACGAACTTCAAACAACTGTATGATAAGACATCCACATCCAGAAACTTCTGGCGAAAATATCTTGCTCTGAGTCCATAATTCTTTCTTCCCTCGAGACCAAGCTCCTTGTGCTTTTTTGCTTTTAGGGCCAGAAGTGTGGTTTTTGAGTTTTGTGGTTTTTGCGCTTTTAGGGCCAGTAGTGCGGTTTTTGAGTTTTGTGGTTTTTGCGAAGTTTGGAAGTCAAACGTCTTAGCGAAAATGTCCTGTCGGATGAAACTCATGGGCTGTCCTTCCCTAGAGACTAAACTCCCTGTGCTGTTCTGCTTTTAGGGGCAGAAGTACTGGTTTTTTGCGAAGTCTAGGGGTCAAGCGCCTTGGCGAAAATGTTTGTCACATGAAGCTCATGGTTCTATCTTTTCCTCAAAACCAAGCTAGCTGTGCTGTTTCGCTTTTAGAGGAAAAAAGTGTGGTTTTTGCAAAGTAGAATGGCCAGATGTAAATTTTAAGCAATCTGTATAATCATTGACACCCAGAAAGTTCTGGCAAAAATATCTTGCTGCCGAGGCCATAATTCTTTCTTACCTCGAGACCAAGCTCTCTGTCTTTTTTGCTTTTAGGACCAGAAGTGTGGTTCTTGAGTTTGGGTTCTTGCGAAGTTTGGGGACCAAAAGTTTCAGTGAAAATGTCTCGGATGAAGCTCATGGATCTGTCCATCCCCGGAGACCACTTATCTGCTTTCAGAGGCGGGAGTATTGTTTTCGTAGAGTGGAAGGGAGAGAAGTAAATTTCAAGGAAATTTCTGTATAATTATATATCGACTCAAAAAATTCTTAGCGAAAATTTCTTGCCGCCTCAGTTTATAAGCCTCTTCTTCCCTCGAGACCAGGCTCTTTGTGCTTTTCTGATTATAGGGGTAGAAGTAAGATTTCAAAAGGTAAAGGAGGGCCAAAGTGAATCTATAACAACTTTAGGTAAATTTACCGCCTTTGTCAATTCCGAGTGTGATTATAGAATTCTCAGCATGCTCACTTACCCCCGGACCAGTGCCATCTCAGCCTCGTAGATTCAGTTGAAAAAAGATGAAATCAATAAAAGTAATGGATAATCTCAAAAACTGTTACTATCTTTGCAGTGAGCGTGCTCACATACAACTTTGTGCCAAGTACCAGGTGTAGCTCTAATTTTATTAGGTTGTAACAGAATTAATGCAGGTTTTTCGCGCACCTTCTTCAAAATGCTGGTTTAGAACGGGGAAGTGTTTTCCTAGAGAGACTGACGTATTATTTAGAAGCTCTTTTCTTCTAATGTCTTATGCATTTTTTCGTTTCAGCGGAAGTGAATTTGTCTAGAGGTTCTGAGCCCATGAATTTAAGAAACCAAATCTCGAAATTTTTTTATTAATATACCTGGCTCTAAAACCACCAAAAACAATCGGAATTCGCTAAAAATTTACGTATTATTTTCGAGTGGGCTATGTTACAAAATGCATGTTGAATCACGAATTCTGAAAACATGTGAGCCGAGAAATTTCAGAACAAAATCAAATGGTCGCTGTGCTCCGTCTGCCCTATAAAAAAATCCTCAGCGAAAAACGAATTCGGAGCTTTCTATATAGGAAGAATAGATTTTAGACATCTATAGCTGAGAAAATCGGGAGCCTTTCTCCCTATTCAGCTTTGAAAAAATTCAAAAGTTTCAGAAAAGCGATTTTTCAAATTCTCAGAAAATTCGAAAAAATGAGTACTTTCAAATTTTTTCAAATATCTTCTCGCAAAGAATTCTTTTTCAATTCCGAATTTAGCGCTGCTGCACAACCGACCATAGGCTACGCAGTGAGTTATATCAGGTTGGAAACTAAGTTTTGCAACTGGTCTCATAACTTCCCTCTCACTCAACATGGCGCACTCAAATTTTGCCACTGCCTTGGTTATTACGTAAGCTACAAGCGCAGCTACTGTCCTACCAAATTCTGACGTCGCAGTGAGGGTTACGGTAGGTGCATGATATGAAGGGGAAAAATGCAAAGTTTGACGGATTTGGCTGAAACTTGGCATAGGGGTGTTATCCGACATGCTGATCACGAAAACGATAGTGAAATTGCGTGATAAGGGCTTTTTTTGTGGGATTACTGTAGGTGTACGATATGAGGTCTTATCCTAAACAAGGAAAAAGGCGTTGATTCAACAAATGAATGTGATATTCGCGTTTGGCAGGTCAATTAACCTAACTATGTAAAGTCTCGGCGGAATTTGAGCTTCGGACTCTTTAGTCATTGACGGTCATCCCCAGCAGCTTTTGCGTACATCGACTTGTTCGATTTTATGAGGACGCCAAATCTCGACGTGTCGCTAAATTTTGTTTCTTTTCTATTAGGCCAAAGGAGTAAACCTCCAGCAATAATTTATAGACGAATCCGGATTACTGCGCATGGTCTTGGCTGCCAAAGGCTTCATTTTAGCTTGATACCCCAAAAATTCACAAATTTCACTAGTTTCCGAAAAACGCCTGAAACTTTTCTATTTCGTGTTCAAAATTTAGTCAATTTGTGGTCGCTTGTAGCTCACATTGCCTTCTACATAATGCCAAAGTTTGAGTGCGCCATATCCAAAGAGAGCGGAGTTATAAAACTAGTTGCAAAACTTAGTTTCCAGCCTAATATTTGCGCTACCTTACCACATCTGGTAGTAAGTTATGGTTTCTCAAAGTGAAGGTTTTCTAACAAAATTCTTGGCAGAATTCGGGCTATAAGATTTTTCGCAGTGAAGCTACAACAACACAATAATGCATGCTGAGTTGAAAAAAGTTTGCTGATTACAATAATTCTTGTTGCACACGAAAAGACTTTTTGTGTGAAAAGTTATAATGATCTAAAGATAAAATTTAGAAAACCTGCATTAATTTTGTTACAACCTAATACAAAGAATAGAAAATCGACAGAAATAATAGGCACTTTCAAGAACACTTATTACAATCGTAATCGGCATGCTCGCTTTTTCCCGTGCCAAATCCCAGTTTCTTGACTTAAACATTGCAAAAAATCGATAAAGCCAGTGAAGGTAACTGAAATTGTAAAAAAGAACGTGTTCGTGACGTAATCAGCATGCTTGCTTACCCTCCTGTGCCAACTCTCAAAGCTGTAGCTCGAACTTTGGAAAAATCGATAAAATGATAAAAGTAATTGATAATTCTAAAGACTAATATTGTATTCGTAATCAGCATGTTCGCTTACCCCCTTTCCCAAATCCCAGCCCCATAGTTCAAAATTTGCAAACAAATTGATAAAATGATAAAAGTAATGGGCATTTTTGAAAAAGGTTATCATATCCGTAATCAGCATGTTCGCTTACTCTTCTGTGCCAACTCTCAGCGTCATAGCTGGAACTTTGCAAAAAATCGATAAAATGATAAAAGTAATTGATAATTCTAAAAACTAATATTGTATTCGTAATCAGAATGTTCGCTTACTCTTCTGTGCCAACTCTCAGCGTCATAGCTGGAACTTTGCAAAAAATCGATAAAATGATAAAAGTAATTGATAATTCTAAAAACTAATATTGTATTCGTAATCAGCATGTTTGCTTACCCCCCTGTACCAGCTCCCAGCCCCGTAGTTCAAAATTTGCAAGTAATCGATAAATTTGGTAGAAGCAGTAACAAGTTTCCATAGTGGAAAACGACAGACACAAAAACATCGACCAGAAAAACACCATCGAGCGTACAGACAGCATCCACCAGCGTACAGACAAGTACACCATTCGGTTTTATATATATAGAAGGATTGTGATTTCCTCAGTGCAGTACTGTTGAAGCCATAATAGAGCTATTAAGGACAGTAGCAAAAATCCTATATTCAGAGAACTAAAATTAAAATATTGAACATGAATGGTCTTATAGACAGAAGTCCAATCGATAGGATTAGGTAAAAACAGAAGTGGTAAGATAAGATAACACAAGGAGATAAGATAGTAGCAAAAGTGATAAGATAAGACACAGAGATAACCAAATTCTTTGTGCGAATGCACAACAATTACTTTTACTAGTTCTCAATTGCTCATGTTTTCAGGGCCGTCATCTTCGATTAGAGTTCTATACTGCTTCAAACGTTAGAGTAAACCTTGCCAATCCTAATATTCCAAATCAAAAATTTTGGCCTGCGCACAAATACATCTTTGCCTGATTCTGATTCCTCTTCATCTTCAATGTTGTCAGCATTGGAATGCATGTTTAGGTTGAACCTCTGGTTGCATTTCCTCTACAATGAAATGCGCCTCGCTTTTTAAATGTGTTCAATAGCACAGATTTGCAATTAACTGATGCACTTCTAAGTAGCAGTAAATTCTGTTTGAGAAAGTACGTAGTCAGAAAGTTATCAGTTTAACAGTCACTCAAGTATTTCGTGTTTGGCTAATGAAAATGTACACTTACTGATGATTGAAGACTGCCTGCGTCTTGAAGAATTTGCGTTGAACTATTACATTTTAATGGTCTTTTTCTGAACTTTGCTTTGTTTGTGACGCAGTAGTCGCAGAGCTTTATTTTGTCTCCTGGTAAGAGAAGGCCTAACAATCAACACTTCAGACAATTTTGCAATGTGATTCCGAAAGCACCACAAACAATGTAAGAACGACTTTATGCAAGTGCAATCCTACAACCCGTGAAAGGGACAACTGTGGTGAATCAGTATCTCAGGCAAGAATGATCATGCAATAGAAAAAAGTTAGCCAAATCAGGCATCGTTATTAAATTCACGATAAAACCTTTACAAAGCATACTAAGAACTACTACCCTAACATGGCTGTTGATTCTGACCAAATAACAATAAATTAGGATAAGAAACTACAAACCGGTACTAAAAGCGAAAATAGGGCATCTCCTCGTCGTTAACTAAACCGTTAATATGGAGACGGGCACCAGTAAAGCATGACAATGCGCGGGAAAGAATGAACATAGCAAATTTCTCATTTTCCACAAAGTAGATCGTCCAAAAATTGTCATGAAGACCTGGAGCAGGGGTGAGATACTCATACTACAGTAAAGAACACATTCATGCCGACACTTTCACGAGACGTCGTCCCAAACAAAAAACAATCAGAGAAGAAATCGCGCATCATTCACCAGAGGCTGTATATGAGACTCTCATATTAGTACATGAGATAATGTGCACCCCGGGTAGGATCCAGAATGCACAAAAAATCGTCTTCTAATATGCAATCATGGCATAACCGTTGTTGATGAGTCTGTTGCAAACACTTGATGATTTGGTCGAACTTGTTTGGAGCACTCTTCTTTCTTCATTAGCGATTTGTTGGCTTTTTTGAACATTTCCTTGATGATATCTTCAATTTCCTTTCCTTTAGTTTCTGGTAAGTATAGATAGGCGAAGATAAGACAGACAATGGATGGTAGGGTGAACAGGACCAGGAATACCATAGCGCCGTACTTCTAAAAAAATTATAATTTGAAATTTTGCAGTGCTACATGCTGCCTATAGTTGATAAGGCTTGTCTATAGTTTTTGCCAGCGCAGCTCCCCTGCCGTGCCAGCGCCATGCCGTAACTATGCTGGCTAGATCGATCGATCAATAATCAGTGCAACCAAGCGTCCGGCACCTGGCACTCGTGCAATTCTGGATGCAATCTAATCCTGATACTTGCCCAATTTTGCAAGATTCAAAACACAAATGGTTGAAACAAATGCTCGCCACTTAATTAAAAAATAGCATAGCAGATTTTTTGCCGCGTTATTATCACACATAGATTGAGGACATTTAGAGTGGTAAATTTTTTACGCATGGCGCCGTTGGGTTTTCTAGACTACCCTCAAAACTGGAGACTACTATAAGGAAATTTTGATAAATTACCTGGAACAACACGATAGCTAGGAAGTCCGTAATAGCGATGAATACATTGTTGGCTCCGAAACACAGCGAAAATACGAGTGACTTGTGTTTCAATGGTACCAGCTCTGGAGCCACAAACCACGAAACCGGTCCAAGCACCATACTGTAGCGATAATCTTCTTTCCTGACCAAAAAAAAACACAACAATAAAAAACCAAAAAAAAACAAACCCAAATGCGATGCAATACGCGATAGCAGCAGCAATGCATGCGTATTTGATCCAATCTGCTGAGTAGGAGAATATTGAGAAGACAGCAAACAGGACAAGAAAGACCTTGAAAAATAATTTTTGAAAATTTTTTGAAATTTTCAATTTTTTTGAAGCTTACATTGCTTAATACACCGGAAAACATGACTAGGAACCGTCGAGGATATCTGTCAACAATTGAAGCTCCACAAATTGAAGAGATTGTGAACAGAACCATTAGCAAGGCGGACATCATTTCTGCTAGCGTACTGTAACATTACATGCAATATTCTTGAAACCTAGAAAACTTCGTAAAAAACATACTGATGAATATTAGAATGTCGGAAAAATGATGTGGATGAGGTGAGCATAGGATAAAATGACCATGTGAGGAATAAAACACAACTGGCTAGGTAGACGGCTTGTCTGAGATTCCATGTCGAGAAAATTTCCTAGAAAATAGAAAAAAATCTTAGGAAAAGTGGGAGAGTGAATCAACAAATGGCTTACACTTAAAGATGAACGCTCTTGCGACGCTTCATTCAACTTTTCCCGTTCGTAGTCATCCAAAAGACGTTGATTATCTTTACTTTCACCGCGGAAAAATTCCAGAGAACGAAGTGCTTTCTCTCGATCATTTCTATGAGTATAGGAAAATTTCTCCAAATGAGGACATATGCATATGTAGTCTTACTTGATTATCATTAAGAACTTTGGAGTTTCCGGAATAAATGCCAAAAATATTAGTGATAATGCCAAAGGTCCAAGTGGTAGGATCATCAGCAGATCCAGTTGTTCGCCAAGTACTGACGTCATTCCTAGCACCTGTAAAGAATTTTTCGTTGTATTTTTGGAATTTTTCAAACATTGACTTGATCATTTGAGAACCTGGCTCATTTTCCAAACTGCATTCACATGCATGTTCAATTTTTCCATCCAAAGGTTTTTGGTAGATTCTATTCGGTGAGATTTTCGAGGATTTTTTTACGCGAGCCTTTGAGAATCTTGTTTCTTTTTTTTAGAACAGCATAATGTTGTTTTCTTTTTTGGGAAGTTCTTACTTTTGTACTTTTTTGGTGAAGCCTTTCACAGGTTCTCTACATTAACCAACAGCAATCATCAACACGGCTATGATTTTAAAAAATGGTTTCTAAAAATTTTCACACGGCTCTGACAATACTAATCGTCTTTTAAATCAGACAACAGCACTAGCATATTCAACTCAATTTTTGAAAAAAAAGGTTCTAAGAATTTTTTCCCTATATTCACACAAGCGCTGATCTTTTTTATTCTAAGAAAAAAACTTTGGACTCAAACTCACCATTCCAAGAACCACCATAGCTCCATAGCCAATTTCACATAGGAATGAAGCCATACCACGGATGGACAGTGGCGAAATTTCCTTAAAAAATAGGCAACATACACCTTTCAAGGTAGGACCACCTTCATGATTCTTACCTGAAGGTACAGCAGTAGACAAGCATCAGCCAGCGGGCTACTAAGCGCTGTTAATGACCTTCCCAGGATGAAAATTTCGGGAGTATAAAATAAGATTGATAGATATTGTATGATAGATGCGAACATAGCCATTGAGATGGCCCCAATGTATCCGACTGCAAACACATATATAGAATGAATTCGAACAAAAAATTTTTTTCAACGAACTTTTTCTTCCAAACGTATCAGTCACGTAAGGTGTGAATATAGCACCAAGTACCATCATGACAAACCAGCAGTTAATTACAGCACCCTAAAAACTCAAAATTTAACCTGCGTGTAGAACAAAATTAGAGAGGGGGGCTCTTACCTTTACTATAGCAACCCCTCCTTCGGTGATATTGGTACCACGTTTGTAGTAGGATTCCCTAATGTACCTGAAACAAGGAATGGTTTATGTAATTTAAGAAATCTAATTATGCAGAATAATCTGTGAAATTTACTTGCATACAAGGTAAGAAAAGAATTTCCAACGAGGACAAAAAGCTTCGTATAATTTTTTGCTTTGTAACAGTGATAAAAACTGGTTTTTTAGAACTCTTTGATCTTTCGTTCTATGAATATGTGAATTTTAAAATCGGATGATTTTTGTCAGTTTTCTCATTCGTTATAATGGCATTTTTAATTTACGATGATAGACGACGGTGATAATGAGCTTGTGAGCAAAATGAATATTTTTAAGTAAGTCTAGGTCTAATATACAACCACTTCCTTGTAAAAATCGCAAGTTTCTCAAAAATTGATCAATCGCAGTTTCTTTTACCCCAGCGTTCTTTTGTTCATTTTTTGATCTCGGCTTGTAACCAGCACATCCGTGAAATGACCAGTCAGTAACTTTCTTAAATTTTATCCAGCAAGAAAATGCCCTTAGTCAGAGTGGAGAACGAAAGACATTGATATACATGCATGAAAAAGCAGAGCAAGAATTTCACTGTAAATTAAAGATCTATTTGAAAATGCAGGATTCAAGTCTGGCAAAAACCGCATAGAAAAATTTTTGTATAAAAGTGCAGCTTGAGGAACCCGAAAGTAGTAAGCTGATGCTCAAAATCACCAAAAGCTAGTTGACTGAGAACACCGAAGAAGAGTCCAAAGTGTTTGGTTTTCAGTTGAATTCTCATATAAAACCATACCACTTACCGTTCAACAGAGTCAACAGCTGTGTTCACTGTGGAATTAGTGTAGCCAGATGGGAAGTTTGTTATTATGGACAATACTGTACATATTAAGATCAGGCTGAAGTTTGAACGTTTGGCCATCTGAAATGATTCAAGCATGATGTCTGTCGGAATTTGGATGGCCGAAAAGTGCAAGATTACGCAAAAGTAGGAGAAAAGAAGCGTAAACTAAGCAATCACATATGAGAGACTGTGAATGAGCCACAAAAATTGAAATTTGCTCAAGATTACTGTTAGATTTGACAACAAAAAGAGAATATACTTCAAAAGGGATTAATGAAATTTTCGGCACTTGACACTATAAAAAAACCTAGTTTTTCTCTTCCGAGTGCCAAATAGCCGCCAAAAGAAAAGAAAGACACAATGAGAAGCAAAAGACGCTGTTTGTAAAAAACCGCATTTGACAACTCTACCGCCAGAGTGAAGGGTATATATGCAAAGCGTAATGTAAAATCGTTCTTTGAAGTTGCAAGTTCGAATAATCTGAAATTTATGCAATAAAAAGTTCACGTGTAGGGTCACCGTTCAAAACTTTTGATTTTGCATAATAATATGGACATGAACCTTGACGAATAGCAACGAACTGTATTTTAACTATAAAAAACTAGTTTCGAAGGGGTTATGATTTTTACCCTGTTAGAGTACATAGTAAAAATTATGCGTACAATAAATTTCGAAAACATTGAATGACTATGTTCGTGAATGATTAGTGTCGACAGATTAGTGCTTTTCTAGAATTTTCTTGCGTATCTATTTGCACAGTAATTTATTCCTATAAGGCAGACAAGAGAACTGCTTTTTGAATTATTTATTCAATTTTGTCTTTTTTTACGCACTAGCTAAAGCCAAAGAAGCCTTTGTTGAGCTAAACTGAACTTTTCTCCTAAATGTTTATCATTTTTCTTTTTCTGATGATCTTCCATGAGGGATTAAGAACCGTGTAATGAGTATAGAAGACTTCGCAAAACATGACAGTGAAAACGCGTATGTATCAACTACTTCGAGGCTTAAAATATTTTTGCAAAGATATGGAAAAAATTTAAGATTTGGCTCGGCGATAACATAAATTCGAAAGTTTTCGAGGGTTAAAAATGTTATGTTGTCGCACTGTACATGTTGATCGTAGTTTCAGCAGAAACCACCGAGGCAATATTTCCGAGGAAAGTTCAAGATCCAGTGCTGGGACAAACTAATACATTCCAATTTTGATTTGAAAAATATTCCCTAAAAATAATCCAAAGCTGATAAGATTCATCTACCACGTTTTTCTAAAAGTACATTCTGTGCGATCAAAATTTTGAATTTGAACATCTTTTTACGTATACTTCCCTCTTCCAACACCAAGTTTACTTCAACGAAACAGGTAATGAAATTCAACTCGGAGCTAAGTAAGGACAACTTATAGTACTGCATATTATTATACATTTCGTTGTCATCTGGTAATCTTTCATAACCGTGGCTCCGCTCTCGCTAAGTGCAGTTCCTAGAAGCTATATTCCTGGACAAAGTTCATATCGGAAGTTATAAAAATGCTGAGCCGATGCACTTCGCTTCAATGCCCATGACGTCATTTTGAGAAGCAGGCTGCAGATAGCGGGATAAAAAACATGGCATTTCCTTCCCAGATTCTGTCTTCGCTCAGTTATCCGCTTAAATCTTCTACGCGTACGAATAAGCACGGAAAAATTCAAAATTGCACAAATTTTCGGTGTTTAACTAGGCTAATTTTCCCACTCCTCTTTCTAAGATAGATCAAAACAACAATCAAGCTCGATGCACAGAGGTATTCAAACGCTTTCGGTGGGCTTGTGTCAATTCGGTTTGAATTTTTGACCAATCCCGGGCCGATAGCTTGTTGAGCGACTTAAAATGAGCCTTATTACGATTTAGTAAAAAGATGTCAGCTGACATCAGCTGACGCAGTATATTTACTAAGTGGGTAGTGTAGAAAAAATCTTCGCATGATTGCCACAAAACTTTTGATGTTTAAGTGCCCATATGTGCCTATTTACAATCATTCAAAGACATTGCGAACCGAGATTATTAAGAAGGAGAATTTTAACTTTTAATGAGAATTCAAAAGTCGCTCTGTGTGAGACAAGCAAAGGATTGGAGATGAGTTTTAGCTTTGCCTTAGTTAACTTACTGATCCATGAAACTTATCAGAGGGTATCTATAACTCAAAGTTCTGCTCATAGTTATTACCGAAGAGGTTCCATACGATTTTAAAGCAAAATTTTGGTAGCTACTACTTTTTGAAGTTGAAGAAGCCCATCTTCTTTTAAGAATTTTTGTCAGAAACGAATTCATAACAACTAGAAGCTCGCAAAAATTCAAACTCTTCTATCCAAGCTACAATGACTTCAATTTGGTGGGTAATTTCTCTTTTATGGAAAGAATTTACGGCTAGTTACTAACTTTCACATGATAGAAAAACTAAATTTGTAGCTTCAAGTCAGTAATCAATAAGCAAAGATAGGAAAGAAAAAAGAGAACTTAGAGAAAAGTTTTGAGCTAAAAAGGAGACAATTGTGGAGTTGCAGCATTGAAAGCAGAAATGTCCTAGCCTCAATATCTGTCAGTCAACGGACGAAACTGAGCATCCACAGACAAATCACTATTTCAAATTTCACTTTCGAAATCTGAACTAGGGAATACCTTTGAAAAACTAGCTAAGCTCATGGCACATGACTATTTGATGAGAATTAGCGATGAGTTTTAGGGAACAGACGCAAAAAAAAGAACTCGCATGGTGACAGAGCAAAGGCGCATAAATGCACGTTTGAGTGTCGTCGACAGCACATATGTCCCAGTAACGAGGCTTTCTTCAAAAAGAAGTCAACTGAGCTTTGCTAGAACGTAGATCCATTTTCAAAATTTGAATTTTGTGCAATTTCGAAAAAAATCCATCAAAAATAAAAAGAGATATTCCAAATGCATAAGGCACGTACCAAGCCGCGAATTTAAGATGTAAAAGTCGATAATGAGCTAGGCGAGGCTATGAAAAATCTCCTCCGGAAAGGGGAAAGGAGAAAAACGTTAGGAAGAAGGATGGAGAAAAATTGGAGAGAGCAGAGAAGCTATTATGGCATGGGGGTCAGCTATGAAGAAGAGAAGACTATTGAACAATGGCGTCAATAGGTCAAAGAGAAACGTTTCTCGGTGATCATTTTGACTTTTTCTTTTGGTAGCATCTGGAACAAGTCGAGTGAGTGTTTCACAAATAACAAACGAATTTTCAACCAAGTAAGCACTTCACCAGTGGAATGTCTAATGGAGACGATTGCGGATGTGATATTTTTACTGCACACTATCAGATCGTCCGAAAGTTTCTTTTGTATCTTTTCAGCAATCGCAAAATCTCACATAGCAATAGCTGAAAAGAATTTCATGACTCATCTCATGCAAATTTCTCTTCTCTTTTCGGTTGTTTTATCTAGCAAGTACTTCCAATTGCCGACACCATTTGGTCAGCTTTCAGCCATTTTCCCACCATGCTTGAACATTAGGTCTCAAAATTCTTTTGTTAGACATTTGAGGAATAGAAATATCGACCAAAGAAAGAAAGTTTGGTGGCTAAGCTATTTCCAAGCTCGTCGTTTTTCCTTGATAGAAATCATCCTTTAGAGACTTCGAATTTCGGTAAAAACACCGAAAAGATATCAAAAACTGCCACTTGATACAAGCCTTGTTTTTTATTCATTAAAAATTATATGAACAAGCTAGATTTGCATTTAACATGTTCCGTGAGGTTTAGCAAATGATCAAAAATTCAAAAAAATTTCGAGAAAACCCAGTATTTGGAAAACTTTTGGTCGATCTCAAAAACTGTACGCCACAACAATGACTGCAGGTTTTAGTTCTTGAAAGGGCGTTAACAAAGGCAACACTGCCATTAGTACTGGTGTAGTTGTAATAGCGATTTGTCAAAGTAAATTATCTATCAAAAACGACTGTCACCTTTTGGCCAACCGAGGCCATTTGCAGCGCATTTCTCACTCAAGCTGAAAAGAATTTTTTTGGCTTTTTTCCTTTATCCTTGTTTTATTTCAAATATTTCCATATAAAACGGTTTACGCCGACCCTATAATTTGCAATATGGAAATTTCTATAAGTCTGCGGAAAACAGGTTTTTTTTCGTTGCGTCATTGTAACTTTCAATGGTTCATACTTCCTGTATGGCAAAGAAGGCTTACGTTCAGCCTAGAGGGTGGATCTTTCACTAGGGCATCACGAACGTCCTTGTTTCAACAGCCACTTTGTGCATTGCACCATTCACAATCTACCGTAAACATTCTGAGAAAATAACAAGGTGATCGCATGTTGTGGAAAAAAGGGTGCTCGAAGACTGCAAATGCATAATGATAAAGTGGTGCAATCACACGAGCTTATTGTTTACAGAGTACTGTAGCTTATTCGCCAAACTACGGTAGGCCATTGCATAAAAAATGAGCGTTCGTTGTCTAGTGAGTTTTTGGGCTTTTGCGAAGAGCTTGTTTGTGCAATTGCACATATCATCATTCGTACAGTCGTTTTCAATACAGTCGTTTTCAATACGTATTGGTTTTTTCTACCGTATGCCTTCCAGCCTCAACATGACGTGGATTGGTGTGGATTGGTGTGGATTGGTGCGGCGCCGCCAAGAAAAGCAACGCGGCGCAAGCCCGAAGCGATGCGGCGCCTCACCAATCCATACCAATCCACACCAATCCACACCAATCCACGTCATGTTGAGGCTAGAAGGCATACGGTAGAAAAAACCAATTCGTATTGAAAACAACTGTACGTATTGGTTTTTTCTACCGTATGCCTTCCAGCCTCAACATGACGTGGATTGGTGTGGATCGGTGTGGATTGGTGTGGATTGGTGTGGATTGGTGTGGATTGGTGTGGATTGGTGTGGATTGGTGTGGATTGGTGTGGATTGGTGTGGATTGGTGTGGATTGGTGTGGATTGGTGCGGCGCCGCCGAGAAAAGCAACGCGGCGCAAACCCGAAGCGATGCGGCGCCTCACCAATCCACACCAATCCAAATCATTTTGAAGCTGGAAGGCATACGGTAGAAAAAACCGATACGTATTGAAAACGACTGTACTTGATTTACAGTTGTTT